ATCTGTGGTAGCTGAATGTAAGATAAGTTTGATTAAGACATTGCCTAATCAACTTGAATTAGTTACGCTTAAAATGGATCTGTGGTAGCTGAATGTAAAGTAATGTAATGTAAGGTAAGGTAATGTAATGTTTTATAGGTAACAACAATGCCGAGTAAACAGATGACGTTTCCTAGGTAACAATAATGCCGAGTAAACAGATGACGTTTCCTAGGTAACAATAATGCCGAGTAAACAGATGACGTTTCCTAGGTAACAATAATGCCGAGTAAACAGATGACGTTTCCTAGGTAACATATCAATGAAGTTTCCCTTTTTCGTAACACATTTTTGCCGAATGACCCTTCCTTATAGAAGTATTTACGTCAAAAAGCTCTTCATCACAATGAAGTTTGTTAGTAGCTTGACAATCTATTACAAGTCTCCCTCATTCATTCACTTTCTTTCTTCTTTCCACTACCAAAAACTGGATAGTAACCTCTTACTTTGGGTACAGATGTGTATGTATGTGCTGCTTCTCATGAGTGGGGTAATTATCAGCACTTTTAAAACCAGTGAGGCAATCTAGGCAAGCTGCTGTCAGGAGCCTGACATCACAACAATGCATCCTAATTTGCATAACATTTCTATAATTTTTCCTGAATTTCTGTTAGCAATGTGTGCACTTCTTTGATAGACTTCTTCTAGATACCATGTACTTTTAGCAGTAGGAATTTACAACCTAGATGGCATGCAAATGCATAAATATCAAAGTTAAATGGACGCCAAGACGAGATGGAGGACTAAAGCAGTACTTTCATCAATGTTCAGATAAACGAGGAATTTGCAACAGTAATGCTGACATGAATGAAAATAACTGAAAATAGTGAGTATGTAGTTAGAAGTGAAAAAGCAATAGTGACAATACACTGTCAGCAGCAAAAGACCATGTTTCCAAACCACATGGTGAACCACATTTCAAATATGGATCTCATTTTGTTTTATATATATATAACTATCCTTTATGTAGATGGAGATTGAGTTTAGGCAATACTTGTTTAATGCCACATACAGTCCGACAGTAGTTCTCCAGCAATTGACCTACGAGAGTCCTGTCAACTGTGTATATTTGTTTATAAAAGGGTTGGAATACTAGTGAATTCACTTTCTGGAAGATACAAATAATCATTGATGCTTTCACAGCATGATTTATCCTGGAACTAAGTTAACCATGATCCACAATTAAATAAGCATTGCATTCTGCTCACCTGTGGTGGTTCCACCACTTCTTGTTTTTCGCCGAGTACTGACGTCAGTGTCATGTGTAATTCTGTTTGCTCCACCTCTGGTACTGATGTTACTTCCCCCTACAGCAGTTTGCCTGTTAGTGGCAGTGGTCACTGTATTGGGTGGTGGTGAACCTTGGGTAGATTTTAACCCAGAGCTAGAGGCTGGACCTGGGTTGGTTTGGCGGACAGATCGGCGTTGTTGTTGCTGCTGATTGTGCTGCTGTTGTTGATTCTGATGTGACTGCTGCTGAGGAGATGGTCCTACACTGATGCTACTATGCTTACTAACTGCACCCAACCGATGGTTTGAACGAGAATTCCAAGCACTATTGCTATTGTTATTCCTGAAAAAGACCCCAAAATATAAAATCAAAATAAAATTAAACACAAACACAACCAAAAGTGAAAATCATATAAATGCACATATTTTATACACAAATTTCATGCAGCAGAGTTCTTAGTGAGAAGATTAGAAAGGCTATCTTTTATGGAACACAAAGGTTCATGAAAGTGCTGATGACAGCCACTGGAACCAGTCCTGGGTCAGATGAATCCAGCCCTCACCCTCAATCTTAAGATGCATCTTAATATCACCCTCCCACCTATTCCCAGGTCTCCCAAATTGTCTCTTCTCTCCACATTTCCCAACACATATACTCTGTATGTGTTTCATATTTCTCCATGTACAGTATATCCCACTCATCTCATCCTTAATTTAAGGTTGCTCTCCCACTGTTGCAACCAAATCCTAGAAACTGATCAGTTGCGGGAAGAAAGAAAGAAAGAAAGAAAGAAAAACAACAACAACCAGTTATATCAGATGCTTGCACAGTGAAGTCACCAAATGAGTAACAAACAAGAAATAAGAAACCAGCTCTTTCAACTGCACTCAACTGTGGTTGTAAAGATCACTAAAACTAAAGTTTCAATCATGTCAGTGGTAAAGGTATTATACAAATGATGGAACAGTTGCAATCAAAAAGAACTGTACATCATGTATTACCATTCTCATGCAATTGGTTGTGTCAATGGGACAGCAGCTTAACTACTTAATACAGAAGGCAAGAAGGATAAGATTGGCATAACATGTTCTTTTTCAGTAAATTAATTTGATACAACAAACAAGCCAATTCCAACACAGTGAATAATGAACATAATTTTGCTGAAAAATTGTTAATAATAAATTCATTTATGCACTTGATGTTTTCTATCTGCTTAACAATTAAAATCAGGTGATAACTGCATTTACTAACTGCATTAACATTCAATAACTCTGCATTCTGCCCAATTTGTGTTCGAGATTTTTGTATGAATGATTCTCAAAGAAAACAGCAATTATTTGCCTAAACAGCATTAACTAACTGAACCGTATAATGGAGATACGGTTATTTTTGATTTAAGAACTGAATTTTTACATTATTTAGATGAACTTCAGCTTCAAAGGGTTAACAGACATACAAAATTTTACATAAATGTTAAACATTACACCATCCAGATAACTATTAATGCATTTCTAGGTCTTCATTACAAACCCCAGCTTCATGTTTCATACACTTTGTGTCTAGGCTGTAAATTTCACCACAAAATAAGTAGTTATTGAAGTTGCATAAGATGTCTACAACCTTGTCAACCTATTACATGGATTCACAATTAAAATTCAGGTAATTAATAATTTTGAACTGAATACATGCTGTAATATTACAGGTAGAAAGAACAGCACTTCAAGCACAACACACCGCATAACATACAGACAGAACAAATACAACAACTTTGTGCAGAAATACAATATAACAGATATTGCACATAGAGTTAATTAAAGACAGGAGACTTTCCATAACATAAACCACATATTATGAAAAATAAAAGATGGTATAACTGTATGCTAAGATTCTGTTTTAATCTTAATAACTAATTTATTCAAATTTAGGATATAACAGTTGTAGTACATGAGATGTAATAAGTTTGATGCAACACGACTCAACATTTACAAACAAGCATAACTGCAGATACACATAATGAACATAAAGATGACATTTTAAGTTTAAAAAGTATTAAATTTCAGTGTTTCATTACTTTGTGTGAAATATATAGTTTGAAAGACACAACATGATTGATGCACATAACTGGATTATAAAAACATTTAGAAATGTATTAACAGTTGTGATGGCTGAGTGATGTTTATATTATAATGCATTTCCAAGAGCACAACAGAATGCTCCAGTACAAGATAACAAAATACTTTTATTTCATCATACATTTATTTGTAAGAATTCAGAGTTAACATCTTTCTTAATGTTATATTTCTATCTATGCTGGAATATGGATTATAAGAGACCTGCAGCAGTGATAAATAACCAGTGCAGTTGAGTCCACTTTATCTTAATACACAATCATTAGAGATGTGTAAATATTACAATTTTGAATTCAATCAATCTGACCTTCAAATGAAGACAAGTTCACTTCACAAATAAGTGTACCGCATACTGCTGCCACAAGACGAAAAAGAAAATACTGGGGAGTGCACAGTAAATACGAGAAATTTGTGGCCTGATAGCTCTATTAACATGACTGTGTATCTGACTAGAAATCAATGCAAACAGAAGGCATGTCAAATGCCTACATGTATGACAGGTCTTCTGTGCTAGAAACTTTTTACATTTATAAAGAAATGAAGGCTTCTATAAAAATTTAACATAAGGCACAACACTTCTTCAGCAGAGTCTATGATTTCTGTATGAAACAGTCTTTGATTTGACTGCCTTCTCCAAGAGAAACAAACAATTCTTTGTTCTATGAAGTTCAGCTCAAAACAAAATAACTCTCTTACTACAGTTTGGAATCACACTAAAGAAATGTGTACAGTGTAAAATAAAATGATTTATTTAATTAGTTATATAAATTTTGTAACAACAAATTTTTCATGGCCTTTTCCCACATAAAACTGTTATTTTACAAAGACATATTTGATATAATGGATCCATACTGTTTGTCATTTACATAACATCCAAACTTGCCTTTGCAGGGATAAAAAAGTGTTACAAGAACAAACTACGCAATATAAAATCAGCACACAGTGGACAGAATGAAACCAGCAAGAATAAACAGTGAAAAACAAGGTATTTATAATATCAAAGGATATAAAATATAAGACTGTGTAGTAAATATGCTCAAATGCCTGATGTAATAGCTCTATCATCATAATTGTGTAGTTAACTAGATACATATCAGGTCAATGCAAACCAGAGGCAGGATCTAATATATACAGGTATGATAAAAGTGTTATGCTAAAAATTTTACAGTTTAAAAAATGACATCTATTAAAAACTGAACATAATGCACAATTAATTACACTGTTTCTTTCTGTCCAGACAATATACATTACTTACGCAGAATCTATGACTTTTGTATGAAAGTCTTTTATTATACGAGTTCCTTGCATGATGTAGTTTCATCTTTAACCTCATATAGTCTTCACTCTTGCCCAAAACAATATAACTCTCTTATCTTTTATATTTCAGGCATAATAAAACATGTTCCATTCACATTCAACACCACATACTATACAAAGTTCACATGCACAACCATAAATTTGATAACAAAATCTTGTTTGATTTCTTTACATGGAAAATTCAGAATTCTTCTTAAAACCAGAGTTTTGCACTCTACACCAAAAATTAAGATTTGTACATATCTTACTTTGCAGATTCTTCGTCTCTAGGACGGCTGCTTGGTCTGCTCTTTGGTCTAGGAGAGGAACGCCCATCTGAGCCACCTCCAGGAGTTCCCCGCCCCTTTCCAGCTATTTCAATCAGTGGCTCATCATCTGAAGAATCTACGTCTACTAATGTACTGGCTGTTGCTATACCTGCAAAGAAATGGAACCAGTCAGATGAGAAATGTATATAATTTGTAGGAGATAATGAAAGGAACAGAAAATACAGTAAAACCGAATACAAAAATGGGTGATGGAGAACAGCATATGTGAATGTGCGCGTGCGCACACACACTCACAGTCATCTAATAATCTTTGCACTCATCTTCCATATCTCCAGGTGTTTCATTAGGATGTGAAGTACCTCACCCACCAGGGAATATGGGCTAATGCTACTCTATTTTATTCTTAGTATTTTGATGATGGTTTGAACTCTAATGATGCTGTGCAAGAGGTCTAGCTGTAAGGAACTAACATTTCAAAATTATACTACAGTCAATAAGGAAGCTGAAAACATTTGGCATGCCCCTAAGTAAAGTCATGGATGTCACTAAAGACTACAAGTGGAATGAAGTCTGCCCTTGTAATATAGGTTCATATTGTGGATATAAAAATGTTGTGTTCTCCAAAGAAATTCAAGATACAATGCTGTCACTGACATGGAGAAAGAATAACAGGGAGGGAGTACAGCTTGCAGAGGAAACACTGCCAAATCTTGTGGCAGTGTTCAAATATTATTGTGTCACTTCTGTATACCCTAAAATGTTCTTCTGCACAAACAAACTTCACCTGACCCCCCCCACCAACACACACACACATTGAAACAATGTCAAATTCTTAAAGTGTTACTTACCTCTCCGATTCTTCAAAGCAGCAACAGTCTTAGTACCCTTCTGGTCAGGATGATTAGGATTCCCTCCTATTCTCTTGGTAGGAGCATCTTCCAGTCCCATGCAAGCTTTGATCAGTTCTGCTGCATTCTCAGAGCACTTCCTCTTATTTGGCCTCTGTTCTTCTACAGCAACTATACTGGAAGCAACACTGCTCTCAGATTCTTGCCGCTTTCTTTTGCTTATATTTGTAGAACTACTTCCTCTGGACAATTGTGTTCCTAAATTTGTGGGACTTGGTTTGGATGTACTGCGAGGAGATCCTGAATGCTCTTCCTTTGAAGTTGGACCTGCTGGGCTTGATTTTGGGGTATTCTTCTGGTCAGGGCTATGAGTATGACTAAGGCTTCTCTGACTCGATCTTGTACTCCTGGTGCTTAGTGAACTGATTCGACGGGCCTCGGTGTCTGATGGAATTTCAATCAGTAACTGTTCTAGCAAGGACTTAGGACCAGAAGAATGGTGCTGAGATTTGTTGCTACGGGCTACATAGGTATGATCATCACCACCACCCAATCCCTCTAGAAAGTGTCCAGATGACATATCACTTCCACCACCACCAGCCACCTCAATGCAAAGCGAGTCGTCTGCTTCCAGCCTGCCCTCAAGTAAATCCTGCTTGCGTTTTCTTTTTCGCCTACTGCTGCTACTACTACAATTAATACCCTCATCTTTCCTGTTGACACTCTGTGATAGAGTCAGATCAATTTCATCATCATCCAAAGCTGCAGGAGAAGGTGTATCTTCTCGGTGTTTTTCAGGGTTGGAGTAAGTATAAAGAGGTGGAGTGATGCGTATTGGTTGAGGATCTTCTAATGTTGGTGAGCCTGGACACTTATCTCTGTCTTCAACAGAGTGCCTATCTTCTGAAGTGGAAATAGCATTTGGCTTCTCGCTTTCCCCAACAGTAGTTATATTTGTAGGCAAGGTGGTACACGTTATGGATGTAGCAGATAAAGGTAAAGACTGGCCAATATCACCAGTAACTGAGTTAACTGATGTGGTTAAGATATTTGAAGCAGATGAAACCATAACTACACCACCAATTGCTGGAACTGCTGATGTGCCAGAACAGGATGAAGAACCCACTTTTGACACCAGAACTTTAACAGGAGATGAAGATGAATTTGTATCAGAAGAAGATGGAACAGTGACAAGTTTTATGGGAACTACTTTGGTTGCTGAAGATGTACCAGATGCATTGGATGAACTAATTGATGACAATGAAGTTATGCTGACAGAGGTATTGCTACGTCCCAGACCTGAATCTCCACTGGCAGAAATTTGTAATTGTTGTGTATCACCATGGTCAATGTTTTCTCTACTGAACACAGCATCTCGTTCAGCATAGGATGTTAAATGTTCACTGGTATTATTACTATTGAATGACAAGTGAGTACAATTTCCATTCACTGACTTACCATCTTTCTCTTTATCATCAGAATTACAATTTCCATTACTACCAGATCCATGTGAGATAACTCGATTCTTCTTTTGTGTACCCACAGCATTAACAACAGAACTATTACTTTCTAAACTGCCATTACCCTCAATCTTCTTCTCATCCAAAGAATCTGATTCTGAAGAGTTTTCTGGTGGTGTATCATTTTTTTCTATGGATGGGTTTGTAATATCACCAGATGCTTTTAAAGTTGAATTTGCAGAAGGTACTGATGTCAATGTTGAAGGCACTGCACTAAGATTTTTATTAGAATCTGCAGACTGGCAGCATTCATTGTCCTTTTCTTCCTTACGGCACGGACTTTCACCTTGATTAGGAGACTTTTCTGAAAGTGCATCCATTGATTCAATACCAGAATCCTCCCCTTGGGTGTTGCCCTGTTCTCCTGCCCCAACCCCAGAAGGACTTTCAGCACCACCTCCACCCCCACCAGCTCCACTGCCAACACCCTGGTTTTCAGCCTGGTTTCTCCCTGTAACTACAGTTTCACCAACTGATGTAGCCAAAAAATCACCAGAACCTACATCTTTTTCCTTTTTCTCTGTTAATCTTGTAGTAATTTGATCCAAATCACTACAATGTTTCTTTCGTGGAGGTGGATCATCCTCCAGCAATCTCTGCTTCACCTTTGCTTCTGACACATCCAAGTCTCCTACAGGGAGAGATGTGGGTGGGGAAGACTTAGCCAGTGTATGATGTTCAATAGACTTTGGATGAGGCTCTGAATGTTTAGGAACATCGGAAGCTGTCGCTGCCATAGCAATGGTCTGAACCCTGGCAACAGTGACTACATTTCTTGAAACTTTACACTGTTCTGTACTTTCTAATTTCCTCTTAACTGTTGTACTATGGTTTGGAAAATCTCTATGCTGAGAATGCTGCTGTTTCTTGGTAACACAGTTTTCTGTTGCAACAGTCTTATAGGCCTCAACTGACCGGGGAATCCTGTTCACACTTGCTGGGAGATTTATCTTGCTACGGTGAATAGATGACACATCATTTGCCAGTCTGTTTACAACTGATGTCCTATTAACTTGTGTTCCTATCTTACTCTGCTGTAAATCAACAGCCTTTCTTGATGCTCCTTTATTCTTTTCTATGGTGTGCAGAGATGAAGAACTATGCTGCTTTCCAGTAGCAACCCATGAGGAAGATGAAATGCTTGGGATAGATGCAACAGTGGATGATGGCACTGAATGAGAAACTGACTGCTGTTTTAGTGCACTAGCTGTCAGTCCACCATGGACATTGATGTATGACTCCTGAGAATGTCCACTGTGAGAGTCCAAGATTGCAGCTGTGTTACTAGATACCATCTGGGAATTCCCTCCCATTATAATGGGATGAGACTTTATTTTCACAGCTGATAATCCACCCTGAGAATCTGAAAATAATGCATGAACACATAGTAAGGCATGGTACTCATATTTATTCATGTACAGTTTATCTAATGATACTCCAAACAGCTCAGATTGTATAATGTCAGCCATTACATCATTATCATTAAACATGCTATATAAAAATATAACTTTTATAAACTTTACTCAAATTTGCATAAAGTTCATACACATGCACCAATCTGCACTTGTAACAAAGAACAGCATATTCTGAACTGAAAATGTACCTTAAAATACAAATATTTTTGTATCCAATTCATCTATTAAGAGAAAATCTAATTTAGCAAACACACGATGTCCCATAACTGCATGCCGAAAAGTGTACAGTGTTATACTATGCCAAAAACTGAAATGAACAACACTTATGCATATGGGGCCTAAAGAGCTTAGTTATCAAGATACACTAAATATCTATCTTAAGAACCTGTGTCATGCACAAAGAAATGGTGATTCAAACTTCATTTCAAGGTTTTTTCTGCAGAAAAAGACTTTGAGCAGGAACTTAACTGTAAACTACAACAATTCCCAAACATGGTCACAGGATAACCCTAATTCAATATGAGGATATACATTTCAATAGATGTCTGGTGTTGTACTGTGCATTTTTCACTTTGTCTTTCAAGGTACTACAAGGCTTACAGGCCTTTCTAACCATGAGGCACAATCAAAACCAAGATTTAACATATAAAGACGAACACATTGGAGGAGATATGTACAGCATGCAGTAGCAGAAATGAGAACCATGCTGGAAGTACTGTACAGTAGGAGTACTCAACCTGTGGCCTGCCAATGTGTTTTCTGCAGCCCACATAGATTTTTGTAATATTCTGTAACTTTGTATGATTAAAATACTTCAGTGATTTTTTAAACACTCTGGTAATGTGATCAATATTTGGCTGTAACTATCACTGTAGTAACTGTTCAGATTATTTAATATTATAAAATCAAGAACTGGGACACGTCTTCCTGGTTAACAGATGGAATTAAAACCCAACACTGAAAGATGAACAAAGTGAAGTATTTTAAAATTCCTCACTAGTAACTGATTTTGTGAACCCATGAAGCTGAAGCTCATCTATGGTTACCCTTTCTTTATGACCAGTTGCAAGCTGTAAAACATATCAAATCTTGATAACAGAGTCCACTAGGCCCTATATGCATGACAGCTTTTCCATTCAGTTCTCAGCACAGAGTAACAAACTTTTTGATGTGCAATTAAATGAAACCCATATATTTGTCCAGTACATAAAAATGTAACAAGATATAATGCATTTTCATGTTTGCAAAACAAGGTTGTATTGATGTGATGGGAATAAATTTTGATGTATTACACAAGTGAAATGGAAGTTCATTCATTCTTTTGGTCATCCATAAATTCAAATACCTGAACAACAACCCTATTAAATTTGAAAGTTTAATCCACAGGATTCCTAAAGCTTCTCCTGTCATTTATATGGGTAAAATACTTCATTACTTCACACACACACACACACAGTCAAATGAACCAAATAAAATATCTTAAATTTACAAATGAATGATACATGAATCAATGTTCTACGATTAACACACAATATTAAATATGTAAAAAAGAATGGTGAAATAAATACTACAGACTGTTACATTTACGTATCAGTAAGTTGGTTTAGTCATGATAAACATGAATTCTAAAAAGTACATCTTGTGTAACAGTTACACGTAAAGGGAAACACAAACTTCATGCTTCTAAAAAGAGAAGCAATTATGATATACACATAACATTACTATACTCCATTTCTACCATCATTAATATAATAATTAATATAATCATAACTTGACAGTTGTATTGCAAATCATTCTATGTGAACATTATAAGATTTGTAAAATTTTCAACTGTCATTGTGAAAGGGCATATCACAGTAACACACCTTCGATTTTGTGCATCGGAACAGCTATGGGAATGCAAGGTATAACCAGGCAAACAGTGACTTCAGCAGCACAGAGTATAAACTGCTAATGTTTAATGATAAATGGGACTCCCTGTATATGAAAGCTAACTGTCAAGAAAAATATGTAGACCTGAGAGGGAAGATAAAAAAAAGATAAACCTGTCCTACTATATGCCATGTAGGCGCTTAGTGGTAGAGAAAGTACAGGTCCTACTCATTCTTAATCTCGGCACTAAGTGGGGGAGAGTGGTTACCGTCACGCCCCAGCCAAGCTTTACCCCTTGGAAAAGACCCTGGTACCCACTGGATAGGAGGCTGGGTGGCCGCCCTTGATGCAGAGGCTAGAGGAAAAATCTTCTGCCCCTGTCAGGGATCAAACCCCGGTTGTCCAGTCTGTAGCCAGTCACTATACTGACTGAGCTACCCCAGCTCCCTGAGAGGGAAGAACAAAGTATAAAGAAAGTGAAGGTGAAAGTTATACTGTGATACTGTTTGAAATACTGAGGCAGAGATGGAAATATTAAATGGCTCTTATGGAAATAAGCTGCAGTGGAATGGAATGAGAACAGGTCCAAAAGGAGGATATTAAGATGACTGGATTTTAGTATACCAGATAACGAGTGAATTTGGATGTTTTAACACACAAATCTCACATAATACACAAAAAATAAAACCCTTAATTTTAGGAATTACAATACATGAAAATCTAACACTACTTACAAAGTGTTTTGTGAACTGCCACAAAACCACACATCCTGTTGCAGTCCAAGGCATGTGTGCATTAACAGATTTGATCTACCCGAGCTAATTACCAACCATTATCCCAATGCCAGTCTCTACAATTTTTTTAATAGTTACTACCATCGTGCTAAAGAAGTGCTTTATGAATGAAAGAACAGCTCTGGGGCCCACCCAGCCTCCCATCCAATACATACTGGGGTACTTCCCAGGGGTAAAGTGTGCCCAGGGTGTGCTAATGACCACTCACCCTTATCTAGTGCTGAGGTTAAGAATGAGCAAAAGCTATATACCACTGCCCCCCCCCCCCCCCCCACAATATGAGGATATACATTTCAATAGATGTCTGGTGTTGTACTGTGCATTTTTCACTTTGTCTTTCAAGGTACTACAAGGCTTACAGGCCTTTCTAACCATGAGGCACAATCAAAACCAAGATTTAACATATAAAGACGAACACATTGGAGGAGATATGTACAGCATGCAGTAGCAGAAATGAGAACCATGCTGGAAGTACTGTACAGTAGGAGTACTCAACCTGTGGCCTGCCAATGTGTTTTCTGCAGCCCACATAGATTTTTGTAATATTCTGTAACTTTGTATGATTAAAATACTTCAGTGATTTTTTAAACACTCTGGTAATGTGATCAATATTTGGCTGTAACTATCACTGTAGTAACTGTTCAGATTATTTAATATTATAAAATCAAGAACTGGGACACGTCTTCCTGGTTAACAGATGGAATTAAAACCCAACACTGAAAGATGAACAAAGTGAAGTATTTTAAAATTCCTCACTAGTAACTGATTTTGTGAACCCATGAAGCTGAAGCTCATCTATGGTTACCCTTTCTTTATGACCAGTTGCAAGCTGTAAAACATATCAAATCTTGATAACAGAGTCCACTAGGCCCTATATGCATGACAGCTTTTCCATTCAGTTCTCAGCACAGAGTAACAAACTTTTTGATGTGCAATTAAATGAAACCCATATATTTGTCCAGTACATAAAAATGTAACAAGATATAATGCATTTTCATGTTTGCAAAACAAGGTTGTATTGATGTGATGGGAATAAATTTTGATGTATTACACAAGTGAAATGGAAGTTCATTCATTCTTTTGGTCATCCATAAATTCAAATACCTGAACAACAACCCTATTAAATTTGAAAGTTTAATCCACAGGATTCCTAAAGCTTCTCCTGTCATTTATATGGGTAAAATACTTCATTACTTCACACACACACACACACAGTCAAATGAACCAAATAAAATATCTTAAATTTACAAATGAATGATACATGAATCAATGTTCTACGATTAACACACAATATTAAATATGTAAAAAAGAATGGTGAAATAAATACTACAGACTGTTACATTTACGTATCAGTAAGTTGGTTTAGTCATGATAAACATGAATTCTAAAAAGTACATCTTGTGTAACAGTTACACGTAAAGGGAAACACAAACTTCATGCTTCTAAAAAGAGAAGCAATTATGATATACACATAACATTACTATACTCCATTTCTACCATCATTAATATAATAATTAATATAATCATAACTTGACAGTTGTATTGCAAATCATTCTATGTGAACATTATAAGATTTGTAAAATTTTCAACTGTCATTGTGAAAGGGCATATCACAGTAACACACCTTCGATTTTGTGCATCGGAACAGCTATGGGAATGCAAGGTATAACCAGGCAAACAGTGACTTCAGCAGCACAGAGTATAAACTGCTAATGTTTAATGATAAATGGGACTCCCTGTATATGAAAGCTAACTGTCAAGAAAAATATGTAGACCTGAGAGGGAAGATAAAAAAAAGATAAACCTGTCCTACTATATGCCATGTAGGCGCTTAGTGGTAGAGAAAGTACAGGTCCTACTCATTCTTAATCTCGGCACTAAGTGGGGGAGAGTGGTTACCGTCACGCCCCAGCCAAGCTTTACCCCTTGGAAAAGACCCTGGTACCCACTGGATAGGAGGCTGGGTGGCCGCCCTTGATGCAGAGGCTAGAGGAAAAATCTTCTGCCCCTGTCAGGGATCAAACCCCGGTTGTCCAGTCTGTAGCCAGTCACTATACTGACTGAGCTACCCCAGCTCCCTGAGAGGGAAGAACAAAGTATAAAGAAAGTGAAGGTGAAAGTTATACTGTGATACTGTTTGAAATACTGAGGCAGAGATGGAAATATTAAATGGCTCTTATGGAAATAAGCTGCAGTGGAATGGAATGAGAACAGGTCCAAAAGGAGGATATTAAGATGACTGGATTTTAGTATACCAGATAACGAGTGAATTTGGATGTTTTAACACACAAATCTCACATAATACACAAAAAATAAAACCCTTAATTTTAGGAATTACAATACATGAAAATCTAACACTACTTACAAAGTGTTTTGTGAACTGCCACAAAACCACACATCCTGTTGCAGTCCAAGGCATGTGTGCATTAACAGATTTGATCTACCCGAGCTAATTACCAACCATTATCCCAATGCCAGTCTCTACAATTTTTTTAATAGTTACTACCATCGTGCTAAAGAAGTGCTTTATGAATGAAAGAACAGCTCTGGGGCCCACCCAGCCTCCCATCCAATACATACTGGGGTACTTCCCAGGGGTAAAGTGTGCCCAGGGTGTGCTAATGACCACTCACCCTTATCTAGTGCTGAGGTTAAGAATGAGCAAAAGCTATATACCACTGCCCCCCCCCCCCCCAAGGGCCTACATGGAATATAGTGGGAAAGCATTTTTAACCAATATCAAGCTTCATCATATGTTCAGCAGTTCCAGAATAGTTTTATGCAGCCAGACAGACATGTTAAATTAACAGGCACAGTATTGCAAATTTTATTTGAAGACAAACCTAAAAACATCAATGACTTACAATTTTCATACCTGTAAAACCTGTTGTAAGATCCTTGTTGTCCTCTGAGCTTTGCCTCCTTCTTTTTTCATCAGAAGCACTGTTCCTTGCACCATTCTCACCCCTGCCATCACTCTCACTACCTCTTCTAACCATAGCAGTCTGAGAGACACCCACTTTACAACTTGTCCCTCCACTCTTCTGTAAAGAATCCACCCTTTCAGACTGCGACTTGCTACGTCGATTCAGTGATGGCGATGGGGACCGCGACACTTTCCCACTCAGAGTGGCACTATTAGAGATGTTTGGGCTTGATTCACTTTTCCTCCACCTGGCAGAATTATCTGACAAACTATCACGAACCTGATTGTCTACTAGCCCACCACCAGATAACAAATTCTGCTCTCGCAAATAAGAACTTTCACTTCCTGAATTACATGAAGATGATTTCTTTCTAGAGTCCCTTCGCTTTGTTTTAATGCCTACACTCATGCTCGACACCTTGTGTTCTGATACCGATGGAGTTGCCTTTGAGCAACCAGTTCTCTCCTTCTCCATTTGCTGGCATAATAGTGTGAACTCTGGATCCCCCACTGCAGTAGGACAACTTTTTCCTGAAACCGTTGTACTAACGCTAGCTGGTATTTTCCCCCCGCGCTGCTGAGATGATACTCCTGATCCTAACCCTGTGACCTCACCTGGTTCGTTCCTCATACGAGACTTCAATGGAACATCATCCAAGTCACGGTCATGATCACGTTCACCACCTCGTTTATCAGAAGTTTTCAGTTTTGTTCTAACCTTAGGAACAATATCTGATCCCACCGTCCGTTCATTTGGCATCAAAGCACTCAAGTGCTGCTGTCTCTTTACAGATGATGAATCACTTGCACTGCATTTTAGAAGTGTTTTTGTTGAAATTTTACCACTTGAGGAGATGGATTTCCCTGTTGTGGGCAATGACGTTGTATAAACACTTGAAGGAGGTTTCTTTATTCTAACAACTGCTCCTGCCCCTCCTTCCCCCACTGTACCCTCTGTTCCACCAGTTCCCACCAAATTTGCACTGTCACGAATTTTTGAAGAACGATTAATTTTTCCTGAAGATGATGATCTTTTGCTGGTGGAAGATGGCACTCCAGACTTACTTACATTGCTGCTGCTACTACTACTATTACCACCACTATTACTACCAAATATATCCTTGTTATGCTGCCACTTCTTACTGCTGTCCTTATGAGAACTCACAACAACAGCTGCGTTCCGGCCACGAAGTGAAATGTGTAGAGGTGGAACTCGAGGCTCTTCCCCAGTCTGACCTGGTGTACTCGCTCCAACACAGCTACCAACACTAGAGGGGCCTGTTGTACCAGCCTGTCCACCTGCAGACCCACCAAACAGCCGTCCACTGGCAACGGAACTTGAGCGCCCATCAGTTTTCCTGGCAGCGGGAACATTTACAAAGGAGACATCAACTTTGTAAGCTGAGGTCACAGGTTCACTCTTTTCAAGCTTCAGCCGCAGTTTGATCTTTTCTCCTGGGCCTCCTGATTGAGCAGGAACCTGTTGCGGAGGACTGCAAGGTTTCCTAGGCCTATGATGATGGTGTCTAACAGTTGAAGAAGATGCATCACTGCCAGTTGACCTCACAGTTGCCTCAGAATCAGACTGATCTGTTGTGGTAGTTGTATCAGCTCTCCTGGATACAGTACCTGTGCTGCTGACATCATCGTCGTCATCAGAGAACAAAGAGTTGTTAGATCGATCATTCAGAGGAGAAGGAAAGTAAAAGAAAGGATCATCCAAAGCTGAATCATGGGCTTTGGAGTTTCCCCCCATTCCTGAATTGGAGGGGTTCTCTGGTTCACTTTCAGAACTGCTGTCCTCACTTGGCATTGGCTCCAAGTGACCTGTTAACGGATTAATAAGGAACTGGCGACGTTTGCCACGGGAAGTTAGAGGTGGAGGTGAGGCAGGAGGACTGGGAATAGGTTCTGTTGTTATTGCCACTGGCTGACTAGTATTTTTGAGGGCCTCCCCCATTTCTCTGCAACCCTGTTGATCCTGTGAGGATTGTTGTGGTTGATGTGGAGTTATGTAATGGTGCTGAAACAATGTTCTCTGTTGCTGGATCATGCTAGCATTATTTTGAGTCTGCTGTTGCTGTGATGGTTGCTGTGTTGATGAATGATTTGCGATGACAAAATTCTGTTGTGGCTGGCTAACTCTGGCTGGCTGCCAACCCCCTACAGAAGTATTCTGACCAGCTCCAACTGTTGCTGATGAAGTTAGCATTGTACCTGGTTGAAGACGCACAGACTGTTGTGGTACGGGTTTGCCCGAAGTATTTGTGACCAGAGTTGAAGAATTACCTACACGAGCATCTCCATATTGCCGTGAATAGTCACTGGTGTTAAGGCCATAAGCTAGAGATTTCACTTGTGGCTGCTGCTGAGTCTGTTGCTGGATTGTTACTGGATCCTTTGATGGTGGTTGATGCAAAGTTCTTTGTTGAAGTTGTTGGTGTAGCCTTGCTTGTTGATGCTGCTGCTGCTGTTGTATGCGAGGGTATGGCGGTGGGTTTGAGGTGGATTGGATTCCAGGACCTTGTGTAAAATGTGGAGTTTGCTGACGTGTCAGTACAGCATTGCCATTATTCCGAGATGTCATGACTGTACCAACACCAGCTGCCATGGGTGTTGCTGAAGGCTGAAGCCTCTCAAGCGGGGAGAGTCTTTGTTGCTGTTGTAACCTAACAGAGGCTGCTGGAGACTGAACTACCTGTTGTGTCTGATGGTGTGTTACAGCCTGTGCAAGCTGCTGAGTTTGATGATGATGTGATAATGATCCTGCTTGCATCTGATGACCTCTTGATGTGGATGCAAAAGCAGATTGTTCTTGTGGAGTTCCTGAAGAATACAGCTTCTGCTGAAGAGCTGACGTAGATGGATGATGTCTGGGATGAGGTGAAGGGACTGTTGAGATTATCTGATGATTTGAAAGAGCAGGGACAGATGAAGAAGCTGCAATGGCAATGGAGTTTGATACAAGCTGTTGTCCTGGAACTCCAGAAGACTGCTGACTTGTAACACTTGTTTCAGAAATTCCAAGAGCCTGCTGTGGGTTATGCAAAGTCCGATGATGCAAGCCTGGAGAATCAGTACGAACAGATGGTGGAGAAGGTGTAGATGAAGTGGAGGAACTTCCAACTTGATAAGATGATACACCTACTGCACTCACAAAGGCAGACTGCTGGTGGGAAGTGTGGTGGTGCAACTGCTGAAGCTTGCATGCTGTAGAAGTAAGGTCTGTATGCTGCTGAAGTGTAATAGCACCCACTGGTGTTGAAGGTTCACCTGGTCTTCGTCGCATCGGAACTTTCTTCAGCTGCTGCTGCTGCTGTTGCTGCTGCATTGACTGGGGTTGTGGAACTCTGATCCTGCCAACTACTGCTGATTTATCTCCCATATTTGAGATGCTCCCTGGTGGAGGAGGTAGCATTTTGTTTGCTCCTGCACAGCAGATCAATAATTTTGTAACAACATGAAAACATGACGTGTAATTACTATTATCTGTCAAACATTCTTATTACGACCCAACCAAACAGCATGTGTGGGAGATTCATAAGTTGTATCAAAGTTACACTACCACGTTTGTTTGCAAGGTACAAGGGATTTGTTTGGGGGGGTGGGTG